GTAAGTAAGTAAGTAAGTAAGTAAGTAAGTAAGTACGTAGAAAGTAAGTAAGTAAGGAAATACGTAAGGAAGTAAGGAAGTAAGTATGTAGTAGTAGTAGCTGTAGTAGTAGTAGCAGCAGCCGCAGTAGTAGTAGTAGTAGTAGTAGTAGTAGTAGTAGTAGTAGTAGTAGTAGTAGTAGTGGTAGTAGTAGTAGTAGTAGTAGTAGTAGTAGTAGTAGTAGTAGTAGTAGTAGTAGTAGTAGTAGTAGTAGTAGTAGCTAGTAGTAGTAGAAGTCGAAGTCGTAGCAGTCGTAGTTCGGAGAGCCCAATAGGCTCTTCCGAGAGCCCAAGAAGCGCTTCGGATGCCCCAAGAGGCTCTTCGGAGGCCCCACGGGGCTCTTCAGAGAGCCCAAGAGGCTCTTAGGCGGCTGCAAGAAGGTCTTCGGCGGCTCCAAGAGGCTCTTCGGAGAGCACCAGAAGCTCTTCCGAGAGGCTCTTCGGTGAAGGGGAGGCGGGTGCGGAGCCTTTTTGGACCTCCCCCCCCTCTTCACCGTACTCGATAATTAATACACTCCGGAGGACCCCTGGCCATACTAACACCCACCGGGCCGCAGTAACAACCAACGGGCCGCGGTAACACCTTATCTCGTCCGGAGACGGCCCGGACCCCCCCCCCCCCTCCCCCCTAAGGGGGGGGGGTCCCGAACCCCCCCCCCCCCTCCCTCCCTTGAAGGGGGGGGTCCGGACCCCCCCCCCCCCCTCCCCCCCCTTGGCGCTGGAAAGGGGGGGGGTTCGGACCCCCCTCCCCTTCGTGTAGGGAGTACGGAGTTGGGAGTAGGGAGTGGTGAGTAGTGAGTGGTGAGTTAGTGCGTAGTGAGTAGTGAGTATTGGGTAGTGAGTAGTAGTGAGTAGTGAGTATGAGTAGTGGGTAGTGAGTGGCGAGTAGGGAGTAGGGAGTAGGGCGTAGGGAGTGGGGAGTAGTGAGTAGTGAATAGTAAGTAGTTAGTGTGTACTGATAAGTGAGAAGTGAGTGGCGAGTAGTGCGTTGTGAGTAGTGAGTAGCGAGTAGCGAGTAGTGAGTACTGAGTAGGGAGTACGGAGTACTGAGTACTGGGTAGTGAGTAGTGGGTAGTGAGTAATGGGGTGCGAGTAGTGATTCGTGAGTAGTGAGTTTTGGGTGGTGCGTAGTACGTAGTGAGTAGTCAGTAGTGAGTTGTGAGTGATGAGTCGTGAGTAGTGAGTAGCGAGTAGTGAGTAGTGAGTGGTGAATAGTGGGTAGTGAGTACTGAGTAGTGCGTAGTGCGTAGTGAGTAGTGAGTAGTGAGTCGTGATGAATGGTGAATAGAAAGTAGTGGGTGGTGGCAGTTGGTAGTGAGTAGTGAGTAGCGAGTAGTGAGTAGCGAGTAGTAAGTAGAGTGTAGTCAGTAGTGAGCAGTGGGTAGTGATTAGTCAGTAACGAGTAGGGAGTAGCGAGTAGTGAGTAGTGAGTAGTGAGTGCTGAGTAGGGAGTAGGGAGTAGTGAGCAGTGAGTAGTAAGAAGAGGGTAGCGAATAGTGGGTAGTGAGTAGCGATTGGTGAGTAGTGGCTAGTGAGTAGTGACTAGTGACTAGTGACTAGTGAGTTGTGACTAGTGACTAGAGACTATGTAGTGACTAGTGAGTAGGGAGCAGTAAGTAGTGAGTAGTGAATAGTGAGTATCTGGGAGTAAGTAGTGAGTATTGAGTAGCGAGTATGGGAGTAGCGAGTAGTGAGTACTGAGTACTGTGTAGTCAGTTTTGTGTAGGGCGAAGGGAGTAGCGAGTAGCGAGTAGTGGGTAGTGAGTAGTGATTTGTGGGCAATGAGTAGTTAGTAGTGAGTAGTGAGTAGTGGATAGTGGGTAGTGGGTAATGAGTAGTGATTATTGAGTAGTGAATAGGGAGTAGTGAGTAGTGCCTAGTGAGTAGTGAGTATTGAGTAGGCGGTAGTGAGGAGTGAGTAGTGAGTAGGGAGGAGGGAGTAGTGAGTAGGGGGTAGTGAGTAGCGAGTAGTGGGTGGTGGGTAGTGAGTAGTGGATAGTGAGTAGTGAGTCGTGAGTAGCGAATAGCGAGTAGTGAGTAGGGGGTAGTGAGTAGGGGGCTGGGGTTAGTGGTTCGGGGGTAGGGGGCCCCTCGTGACTCCCTTTGGGGCTGGGGTTAGTGGTTAGGGTTAGGATTAGGGGTTGTGTATAGGGTGAGGACTAGGGGTAGGGGTGGCGGGGGTCGGGTTCCGGCGTCAGGGGGCGGCGTGGCGAACGGGGGGGAGGCGGACCCTCCCCCTTTTTGAAAGGGGGGGAGGGGGGGGAGGGGTCCCCGACGACGGGTCGGGGAAAGGGGGCGAGGGGGGGGGGTTCCCGACGACGGATCGGGGAAAAGGGGGGGGGTCCCCCACGACGGATCGGGGAGGGGGGGAGGGGGGGGAGGGGCTAACCCTCCCCCCCCCCTGGGGAGATCCAGCGGCGCACCCTCCAGAACTTTATGCAGCACATATAGTACACCACATATTGCATCACATAGATTGTACCAGTTAGACTTCACACGTACCCTGCAATCCATATGCTCAACAGCGTAGGTTGCACCTCGTGGATCGCACTACATCTATTGCACCATGTAGACTGCACAGCATATTGTACCACATCGTTTTTTGCAGTTCTGAAGACAAATTTGATTTTACTCCAACGACCCCCCCGGGATGACCACTCCCCTGGGGCATTGCAGTTCACATATGATCCTACCTCCCAACTAGTCCCAGTATCGCCCCCACCGCTCATCCCTGTCAGACAATACTATGCGTTGATCTAGTCTGCGCTAAACGCATGAACTTCTCTGAACGAGTACCAGGCGTGCCACATTCGCGCGCGCAAGACGAAGTCCTTCCAATACCTTTGCTTGCGTTTCGGATTCAGCTTCAAAAGCATCGAAAACCAGTTGGTTCGTCAACATGTTTTCAATATTTCATCTTGCGCGGTTTTGCGGGCCCCTAGGGAGCCCAATGCCTTTTTTTCAACTTTCTTGTCCAAGGAGGCCTCCGCGCGCGCATGTCGAACTTATTCCAATGCCCTCGCGCGCTTGCCAGAAACATGATCCCTGTCAAATAATACCATGCGGGGCACCGTCATCGTCATCATTGCCGTCGGAAGCGTCGTGATCGTTCTCATCGTCGCTTGTCGACGCCATCGTCCGCGCTGTCTCCCGCTAGATGGACTTTGCCCGCGCGACGAGCGACCGCGCGCCAAGGCACACGATGAAAGTATCGCAGGAATTCCACGTTGTAACTGTACTCGCGACCTTTTGAGTTTTGCCAACCACCTCATCGTCGTTTGTCGACGCAGTAGTCCGGCGGTGTCCCCGCAAGATGGACTTTGCCCGCGACACGAGGGTCCGCGTGCCAGTGAGCTCGATGAAATTTGCGGACGAGCTCCACGCTGCAATTGTAATCGCGACCTTGTGAGTCTTGCCGACCAGGATGCGGGTGGGAGCATGGGATGTTTGCACGAGCGTGGGAGGTGCTCGAGCGCGGTGCAGCGTGGTCAATTGCACCACATAAGTGGCAAAGCGCAGATCGCACAACGTAGATTGCACCACGTACGCTTCAAAACACATTGCGAAACAACACACGGTTTGGGGCCCACGTTGGCTTACACTTGAACAAGTTTCCCGAACATTGGCCCGGGCTTCTGCAGTTTTTTCGTTACCAGGCACCCAATGCCGAAACAATTGTTCACGACAAGGGGCGGATGTTCCTGACCGTTCCAGGTATCCCAGCGCTGCAGGCAATTCAGGTGAAGCCTGACTGGCGCTGGTACGCTGGTTGTTTCCATGCATACGCAGTACGGAGAAAAATGTGCATGCTGGCGCACGTTCGTGCGAGTTGGGGCCGGGTGTTTTTTTAGCTGGGTTAAGGCCGTGCCTTGCGAGCTTCCACAAGCCAGATCCGCGTGCAAGGAGAGTCGAGTTATTCGTGGCTTGGTTCTGCTCCTAAATCGCCCAACCGTCTGCAGGTCCCCCCCCGTGTTGGCGCATGGGTGACCTGCGCGTAATGTGGTCCTACCGAGCTGTGCTGCCGAGGCTCGGTAAAACATTTGTTCATCATCCTCCCCTTCTTCCTCCTCCTCGCGTCTCCTCTTCCCTCCTTCTCCTCTTCCGTCGTTTCTCCTCAGAAAAAGTTCCTCCTCCTCCTCCTCCTCTTCCTCCCTCTTCCCTCCTCCTTTTCCCTTCCTCTCTTCCCGCCTCCTCCTCCTCTGCTCTCCTCCACAATTACTCAATATGAATATACTCTCCCTCTTCCCCTGATGGCGTCCAGGTGATGGCCGCGCACCCTCCGCGTACTGTTTTTTTACACACAGGATCCCCGGGAAATCCCGGGAAACGACTCTCGCTGAGGCGCCGGCGTCATTTCGGGCAATGAACTGCTCTCGCTGAGGCGCCGGCCTCATTTCTGCTCCCGATCGTTCCGAAATCGTGTCTCCGCTGCGTCGGGGCCTCATTTTCGGATTGGGGTTGGGGGGGGGGGGGGGGGGAGGGGGGGCGGTGTTTGGCCTCCGTCGTTCAGGATGGCGTTCTCGCCCCAGCGCGGTGCCTCTTTCTCGCGCGCCCATCCGCCCTCCACTCCACACGCGCCGCACCACCACCAGCCACCACCACACCACCCCACCACCACTCACCACTACCACCACCACCCCACCACCACCACCACACCATCACAACCACACCAGCACCAGCACACACCACCACACGAGCGCCAGCACAGCAACCAGCACCAGCCCACCACCACCACCACCACCACTACCACCACCACCACCACCACGACAACCACTCACACACGCACGCACGCACGCACGTGCACCACCACCCACTACGCACGCGCGCGCGGAGCCACAGGTCCGCTACGACACGCGTCCGCGGATAGAGAAAATCAGCGCCATGGTAAGGGATGGGAGGGAGGGGTAGGACGTCAGATATGACGCGAGCGCACCTAGCTTGTTCTCCCTCCTCCTCCTCTTCCTCCTCTTCCGTCTTCTCCCCCCATTGAAGGATCACCAGCCGCCGCCCCTCCCCCGCGACAGGCGTCGTCAGGACGCCGACGCCGCGCACCGCGCCGCTGATCGCAGTGACTCCGCCGCAGGAGTTGATGGGCCTCACGCCGGTCCGGCACGATATCCTCCGCACCCCCTCGAGGCAGGCCAGCTGCTTCTGCTGCTGTTGCTGTTTCCTTATTCCTTTCCTTCCTTCCTTCCTGTCAGCTCTTCCTATCATCCTCATCCTTCCTTCATTCCTTCCTTTCTTTCCTTTTCTTCCTCCATTATTTCCTTCCTTTCCCTTCTTTCGTCGTTCTTTCCTTCCAGTGATTCCTTCTCCTCCTCCGCTGCGTCTCTGTCTCTAAGGGCATTCTGCGGTCGGGGGGCCGACTCGGATCGACCCCTCCCGCTTGCGAATCGGCCTTCTCCTCCTCCTTGTCCCCCTCCTCCTCATCATGTTCATCAGCAGCAGCAACATTCTAATGAGGATGATGCTGATCATCATCATCATCATCATCATCATCATCGCTACCCCCAATATATCTTCTCCTCCTCCGCCTCCTCGTCACCTTCCATAGTCATCGTCCATCATCAGCATCAGCAGCCTCCTCCTCCTCCTCCTCCTCCGCCTCTTCCCTCACATCATCATCATAATCAGCATAATCATCATCATCATCATCATCATCATCATCATCATCACCAGTATCATCAATACCACCATCATGATCACCACCACCATCGTCGTCATCATGGTCAACCGGATCATTGTCGTCGTCAGCTATTCCATCATCATCAGCATCGTCACCATCAACATCACCGACACCATCACCATCACCACCACCATCACCATTATCCTCATCATCACCATCACCACTATCATCATCATCACCAACAGTCATCACCACCACCGAAACCACCATTATCATCATCAGCAGCATCATGACCAACATCATCAGCAGCAGCAACATCAACATCATCATCAACATCAGCTTCATCATCACCATTACCATCATCATCATCATCATCATCATCATCATCATCATCATCATCATCGTCGTCGTCGTCGTCGTCGTCGTCATCATCAGTATCAATGTCAACATCATCACCGTTCATTGCCATTACCATTACCAGTACCATTCTCATTCTCATCATCGTAATCGTCTCGGCCAGCATCATCATCTTCATCATCATCACCATCATCATCACCAGCATCAGCATCATCATCATCATCAGCACCAGTATCACCATCATCATTATCACCATCACCATCATCACCATCATCAGCATCACGAGCATCACCACCATCATGATATGTATGGTCATCTTAATCTCCATCCGTAGCCATGTTGGTTCAAGCCTGTCTTGGGTGCCAGGCGGGCGAGGTGCGCGGCGTGTCTCTCCCCTTCGTAGGGGAGAGCGGCTCCGTCTCCTTCCCCTCCTGCGCGGCAGAGGCAATGGATCTACGGTCGGACGGCAGCGCTGTTCTGGTCATGGCGATGGCCGCCCAGGGCGCTGCCCAGGGTGCTGCTGCGGGCGGCGCCACACGGCAGGCGATCGCCGCAACTGCCGTGGCGGCGGTGCTGCGCACGACGTGAGCGCTGCTGGCAGGCGACCGCACCGAGGAGGACGCCGAGCTCGCGATGCGTTGGCAGGCCATGGAGGCCGCTGTGCGCCAGCAGCCGCGAGAGGCGCGGCCGCTCGGCGGGGCTCGCGCCAGGCGAAACGTCGGGGCGCACGCGGACCTCGGCAAGGGCGTCGAGGCGTTGCGGCAGGCCCTGGCGCAGCCGCAGAGCGCCCAGCGTGGCGGGCGCCGCGGGCCCCGGGTGCTGGCCCGCCGCGCCGCCGATCCCGTCGGCCCGCCCTCGGACCCGCCCTCCGGGCCCCTCGGAGGCTTTCCGGGGCATGGCGGAGGACGGGGGTTACCTGGGGCGAAGAGGCGGCGGGTGCCGAGGCGGTGACGATGATGATGATGATGGTGATGATGATGATGGTGATGATGATGATGATGATGACGATGATGGTGGTGATGATGATGATGATGAGGATGAGGATGAGGATGAGGATGAGGATGAGGATGAGGATGAGGATGAGGATGAGGATGATGAGGGCGATGATGATGATGATGATGATGGTGATGGTGATGATTATGATGATGATGACGATGGTGACGAAGACGATAATGATGACGATGCTGATGATGATGATGATGATGCTGATTTTGATGATGATGATGATGATGATGATGATGATGGTGATGATGTTGATGATGCTGGTGATGCTGATGTTGCTGATTATGATGCTGATGATGATGATGATACTGATGCTGATGCTGATGCTGATGAACTGATGATGACGATGATGATGATGATAATGTTGATGATGATGCTTATGATGATGATGATGATGCTGATGCTGATGCTGATGCTGATGCTGATGCTGATGCTGATGATGCTGCTGATGATGATGATGGTGCTGATGTCGATGATGATGATGATGGTGGTGGTGGTGGTGATGATGATGATGCTGATGGTGATGCTGATGCTGATGCTGATGCTCATTCTGATGATGATGATGATGGATGGTGATGATGTTGACGATGATGCTTATGATGATGCTGTTGATGATGCTGATGCTGATGTTGATGATGCTGATGCTGATGCTGATGCTGATGATGACGATGATGATGATGATGATCGTGATGCTGGTGATGATGGTGATGATGATGATGGTGATGCTGATGCTGCTGATGCTGATGCTGATGCTGATGATGATGATGATGATCATGCTGATGCTGATGCTGAGGCTCATGCTGATGCTGATGATGCTGATGCTGATGCTGATGCTGATGCTGATGCTGATGATGATGACGATGATGATGACGATGATGATGGTGTTGATGATGATACTTATGTTGATGATGCTGCTGATGCTGATGCTGATTCTGATGCTGATGCTGATGATGCTGGTGATGATGCTGATGATGATGTTGACGATGATGGTGATGATGATGATGATGGTGATGATGATGCTGCTGATGCTGATGCTGATGATGCTGATGCTGATGCTGATGCTGATGATGCTGAGGCTGATGGTGATGCTGATGCTGTTGATGATGCTGATGCTGATGCTGCTGATGATGATGATGATGTTGATGATGATAGTTATGATGCTTATGATGATGCTGATGATGATGCTGATGCTGTTGCTGATGCTGATGATACTGATGCTGATGATGATGATGATGATGCTGATGATGATGATGATGATGATGGGATGGTGATGATGATGACGACGATGATGATGATAGTGATGATGATGATGATTGATGCTTGCTAACGCTGATTTGATGCTGATTCTGATGCTTGATGATGATGCGATTGCTGATGCTGATGCTGATGCTGATGCTGATGATGCTGATGCTGATGCTGATGCTGATGCTGATGCTGAATCTGATGCTGATGCTGATGATGATGATGATGATGATGACGATGATGATGATGCTGATGATGATGATGATGATGATAATGTTGATTCTGACGTTTATGATGATGATGCTGATGCTGATGCTGATGATGCTGATGATGATGCTCATGCTGATGCTGATGCTGATGATGCTGATATTGATGTTGATGTTGATGATGATGGTGGTGGTGGTGGTGAAGATGATGATGATGATGATGATGATGATGATGATGATGCTGATGCTGATGGTGACGATGATGATGATGATGATGATGATGATGATGATGATGAGGCGGCCGCCTCGGCGGGTGCCGAGGCGGCCGCCTCCGGGCATGCAGAGGCCGATGGCGGCTCACAGCAGCAGCGGCGCGGGCACGTCGTCGAGGGCAAGGGGGTCCATCACGACGGGCCACCGCCAGCTGGGCAGGGCGAGCTCGGGAGGCGCCTCCGGCGCCGCCGCGCGGCCGCAGGTGCACCAAGGCCTCCTCTCGACGGCCTCTCCCGCGGCGGCGGCGGCGGCAAGCTCGAGAGCAGCTCCGAGGCCATCGCGAAGATGGCCGTGAGGCGCTTCGACGGAACCTCGGGCGTCCAGGGCTCCGAATTGCCGCGCGGCGCGGAGGCCGAGCTTCGCCAAGGTCGGCGAGTGCCGGTGCGGCTGTCCGAGGCCAGGGCGGAGCCGCGAGCTGCGCGGCGGGCGCGCGCGCGCGCCAACGGCGCTGAAAGGCGCGTCGTCTGCTCTCGGAGGCGGCCGTCCCGAGGGTGGCGCTGCGACCTTGCGCAGCAGGTGCTGCTGGCCGAGCCTGCGGACCCGCTGCCCCTGGCCGCGGGCCCTCGCCGGTGGAAGCAGGCCTTCGGCGAGGAGGACGACGAGCCCGAGGACGTCGGCCCCCAGCGGTGGGACGACGGCGACGCCGTGTCGAGCGCGGGCCACGAGCTCGAGGGCATGAGGGACGGCGGGCGCCGCCAGCACTGGCGGCGTCGGCGCGGAGGCGGAGGCGCGCGAGTGGCTCCTGGCCGCGCTGCACGAGGCGAGGGGGGAGCTCGCCGCCCTCGCGGCAGAGGCGGGCAGGGAGGCGCGCACGGAGCCCGCGAGGGCCGGCGACCACGTGCTGGAGGCGCGGCTCCCTCCGCGAGCACGGCGCGGGCGAGGCGACGGGCCCCGAGCTCGGGCTGCTGCGGGCCCAGGTGTCTCGGGGCGCCCTGGCGATTGGCTCCTTGCGAGGCGACGGGGCAGCCAGCGGCGCCGAGCGCCGCCCAGAGCTGCTGGCCGAGCTCAGGGCAAAGCGCAGGCGCTGAGCTTCCACCGCCCCGCGGGGGCTCTGCAGCGGCCGAGTGCGGCCAGCCTCGCGGCGCCGCGCGGACCGCCGCAGACCCTGCCACACAATGGCCCTGAGAGGCAGGCGGCTGGCGTTGCGCACGAGTGCAGCCGCGACCGAGGGCCGCGGCGCGCGGCGGAGGCTGAGGGCGCCCCCGGCCGCGCGGGGACTTAGCGAGCCTGCCGACGAGTTACCCACAGTTTTGCAAGATGGTCGGCCCGGATCCGCTTTGCAGTCGGTCACGCCCCATGTCCGCTGTTTGGAGCCCCCCCTCAAGGTCGCCTCTGTCGGCCCGCGAATAGCGGTGCCGCGCCGCCCCAGCCGCGTCCTCCTGGCCGTCGCGGCCGCATTGTCCGCCGCCTGGGTGGCCCGCACCGCCCGCGGGCCAGCCGCCGCGCCGCCCACGCTGACGCTGGTTGCCGCGGTGAGACTCCGTGCTGGTGCTGCTGACCACCGTGCTCGTCGTGGGCATCTCGTTCGCGGCCTTCCTGCTGCACCGCTTCTCCGACAAGTCAGCCTGGCAGCGAAACCCGATGGCGCCGAAAATCATCGAGTAGCAGGCTCAGTAGGACATGGTCCCCGCATCGCAGAACCGCGCGGACCCTTCCAGGAGCCTCATCAGCAAGGGCGACTTCGAGAAGGGCCCCGGGGAAGCCTAGGAGACGGTCAAGCCGAAAGTGCAGTACTGTCACGGAAAAGCAGAAGCTGACCGATATGTCCACCCCAAGCAACCCCCATTTGATGGAGGACAAGTTGGCAGAGCCGAGGATGAAGGCGAGGGCGGCGTTGTCCACCTGACCGAAAGCGAGGGCAGCGCTGTCCGCCTGGCCGAGGGGCCCGAGCGGCGTGTCGCGTCTCCGGGGCTCCCCGACGTCGGGGCGAGGTGTCTTGAGCTGTGCGCTCTGCCGTTGGCGGGCATCTCCTTCCAGCAGCAGGAGTATCCTGAGGACGGCGATGGTGGTGGTCTCGCCTGTTCTTGAAAGAGGGGAGGGGGAGGAGCAGGACGAGGAGGAGGAGGAGGAAGACAAGGAGGAGGGACAAGGAGGAGGGAGGAGGAGGAGGAGGAGGAGGAGGAAGCGGATCGTGAAGGGTGCGCCACTTCTTCTTTTGTTCTGTTCTTCCGTCGTCGCCTCTCTCCTCCGTCTCTCCTCCTCTCCATCACTGTCATCCTGGCGCGGGGTGCTCCCCCCAATGGCGGACGGACGTGTGGAGCGGGGCATCATGGTCTGCATCGTCCCCCATTCTCCCCGTCTCTCTTTTCCATCGTCTGCATCCCCATCCGCTTTTCCTCCCTTCTTCATTGTCCCTCCCCTCATCCTTCGCCGCTTCCTCCTCCTCCTCCTCTTCCTCTTCCTCTGCCTCTTCCTCTTCCTCTCTCCCTCCCTGCTCCCTCCTCCCCGCCCCCCCCCCCTTCCTCCCTCCCCCCGGCAGCGAAACTACTGTCCTCCCAGAGCTTAACGGACGAACAGCGGCACCACAGTCCACACCCCAGTTGCGGATACGATGGCAGCCTGCGGGGCTCCGAAGAAGCCTGCCGCAGGTGCAGATATACACATACAGCGAGCCCGCCGCAGGCGCCGAATTTTCGTCAGAGCCATGTGGGTTGGCCGCGTGTGGATCGCGGGTGGGCCGCGGGCTGAGTCGCAGGGTGGGTCGCGGGTCGGGTCGCGGAGGGGTCGTGGTTGGGTCGCGTGCGGGTCCCAGGCGAGGACGACGGCAACACCAGAAGGCAAGAATCCTCGCCAGCCACGCGCCCGAGGACGGTGCAAGACCGCTCGGCCCCCTCACTCTGATGACACAGACGTGTCCTCCGTCGGGGCCGCCAGTCCCAGGGCGGCTGGGACGTGTGCGCCCCCACGCGTTGCCGTCGGGGGATCTTTTCAGCCACGCTGAGACAGGCGTCCCCGATGCCTACCGTTTTTCGTCCGCTGGAGAGTCCTTGTGCGAACTGGCGCTCGCACGGGTCTGCCAAGGACTTGGAGGACTCCATGCGATCGTGTCCCAACTCACCTCCTCCCCTGCTCCTCTTCCTCCTCCTCCCACTCCTCTTCCTCCTCCTCCTCATCCCTCCTCCTCCTTCTCCTCCTTCTTCCCTGCCTCTCTTCCCCCCCCCCCCCCGCTTCCTCCTCCTCCTCCTCCTCTTCCTCCTCCTCCTCCTCCAGTCCTTTTCCCCCATAAATAACTCCACCCTGTCGCATCACGAGGCCGGTCGAAAGTGCGGACCAGGCGTTTCGCCTGAGACTTCCACCCCACATATGACCCTGAAGCTAAAACGTTGACAACAGTTTCACAAATAGAGGGCGGATGGTTTTCAAAATGTGGCTCTCGCCTTAGCGCCATGCACACCCCTCCTAAAATATTGCAAGAGCTTCTCGGATTGAGGGCGGGTGGTTTTCAAATGTGGCTCTCGCCTTAGCGCCGCGCACATTTGTCCGAAACAAATGCAAGAGTTTCACGAATTGAGGGCGGTTCCCTTTGAACATGTGGCTCTCGGTTCAACGCCGCGCGCATTGTTTCTTGACGTTCAATTGCGACAGTTTCACGGATTGAGGGCGGTTCCTTTTGAACATGTGGCTCTCGGCTTAGCGCCGCGCATATTCGCCTTGAATCATTCCAAGAGTTCGACTGGCTCTCAAGGTTAACGTACCAGAAACGGTGTTTGGTGAGGTCTCAGGATTGCCAGGGTGCAGCAGTTACGCTGATTCGCGGTGTTTATTCCCCAGGAATGGTGTTTTGGCACGATTCAGGACGGGCAAGACGCAACAGTCAGGTTTAGTCGTGGTGTAACGGGATGCTTTTTTGCTGAGCTTCAAGACCTTCAAACTCTTGTCGCCAAATAGGGCACTTCCTTCAGTGTAGATGAACTTTGGCCCCCTGTGGGGGCCTATGAAGAGGGAGCTTGGGTGGGAGGTTTTATTTCCAACTTCGTTGATGTGTCTTGGGTTAGCACTTCTCCTCTTCCTCCTCCTCCTCCTCCTCCTCCTCCTCCTCCTCCTCTTCCTATCTCTCGTCGTACCATCCCCATCCTTTCCTCCTCGTTCCATTCCCAGTTCCCTGCTCCTCCATCCTCCCTTGCCCCTCTTCCCTCCTCCCTTCGCCTTCTCCTCCCTCCCTTCCTCCCTCCCGTCGCCTCCTCCTCCCTCCCTCCTGCCCTCCCCTCCCCCTGCGTCCTGTCAGGCAGGCCAGCTACGCCCCCTCGAGGGGCCCGGTGCTCCCTGGCGGCGACGCCCCGCTGGGCTTCTCCATGGCAGACGCGCTCGGGGACGGCGGCTGGCAGCGCGGCCTGCCCTGCTCCGCCGCGCGCGGCCGCGCCACCATCGCCACAGTGGTGAGCGCCGGGGGCGCGCCGCGCACGGTGCTCACCACCACGACGACGACGACGACGACGACGACGACGACGACGACGGCGGCGGCGGCGGCGGCGGCGGCGGCGGCGGCGGCCGCCGGGAGTTCGGCGCGACAGGCTGCTGACCAGCGCTGGTCCGAGCGAGTTTTTCGACGCCTCCCAGGCTGGTTCCCAAGAGGTCCGAGGATATGATTGTTTCAATCCAGAGGTTTTTTTCTGGATTTCGGCGTATGGGGCCCCTTATCTGGCCCGGTGACCATCAAACATGGATCCGGGACGAACAGCCACCCCTGGGGAAGGGGTCGGGACCTCTGGGGCCGCGGATTGAAAATCATATCGGCGGATGCCTGGGTCAGAGTAGAGGGTCGGAGGATCGAGTTGCATCGCCGATGCATCGGCGATGCGACTCGATGCGGATGCAGCGCGATCCTCCGATCCCATCTACTCCGACCCCACCTGGGAGTTGGGGGGCCTCTAATTGTGTGGCCCTTGAAGTCGAAGTCTCAGGGGCAACGTAAAGGAGGGATAGGCTCAGGGGCGATCACATTGACCCCGAATTGCCCATGCATCGCCGCTGGTGGCCTGACAGCCCACCCCGCGGTTTCGATATCGAGGGCCAATCGCCGATCTATCGGCGATTTCAATGTTTTCCCACCCCCCTTATCCCGTACCTTTGCCCTTTGAATTCGCTTTGCCTAGCCAACATGAGCCCCAAGCAGTGATTCCCTATCAAGCTGCCTACGACAAGTCCCGCCACCGTGCCAGCCAAACACCTTGGGTGATGCCTGTTTGGATGATGGCGATGATGATGCAGATGATGCTGCTGATGCTGATGATGATGATACAGATGATGATGGTGGTTGTTGTGATGATGATGGTGATGATGATGGTGGTGATGATGGTGGCGGTGGCGATGATGATGGTGCGGATGTTACCGAGTGTGATGGTGATGCTGATCAGGAGGGGGAGGAGGAGGACGGGGCAGCAGGAGCAGGAATAGGAGAAGTATAGTAGTGATCGTAGTGACAACAGTCTAGAAGTATTCGTACTTGTAGTAGAAGTAGTGGAAGTGGTCGTAGTTGTTGTAGTCGTAGTCGTAGTCGTAGTTTTAGTTGTAGTAGCCGTAGTAGTAGTAGTAGTAGTAGTAGTAGTAGTCGTCGTAGTAGTCGTAGTAGTAGTAGTAGTAGTAGTAGCAGTAGTAGTAGTAGTAGTAGGAGTAGTAGTGGTAGTAGTAGTAGTAGTAGTAGTAGTAGTAGGACTCGCACTAGTCGTAGTCGTAGTCGTAGTTGTAGTTGTAGTGGGGGAAGTAGTAGTGGTAGGTATAGCTGTAGTAGTAGTAGTAGTAGTAGTAGTAGTAGTATCCGTTGTAGTATCCGTTGTAGTATCCGTAGTAGTAGTAGTAGTAGTAGTAGTAGTAGTAGTAGTAGTAGTCGTAGTCGTAGTCGTAGTCGTAGTCGTAGTAGTAGTAGTAGTAGTAGTAGTAGTAGTAGTAGTAGTAGTAGTAGTAGTAGGTAGTAGAAGCAGTAGTAGTAGTAGTAGTAGTAGTAGTAGTAGTAGGTAGTAGAAGTAGCAGTAGTAGTCGTAGTAGTAGTAGTAGTATTAGTAGTCGTAGTAGTAGTAGTAGTAGTAGTAGCAGTAATGGTAGTAGTAGTAATAGCAGTAGTAGTAGTCGTAGTCGTAGTCGTAGTGGTAGAAGTAGTGCCAGTCGTCGTCGTTGTTGTCGTCGTGGTCGTCGTGGTCGTCGTCGCAGTGGCAGCAGTAGTGGTCGTGGTAGCTGCAGTGGTAGTAGTAGTAGTAGCAGTAGTAGTTGTAGTAGTAGTAGTAGCAGTCGTAGTCGTAGCCGTAGTCGTAGTCGTAGTTGT